CTCTCAGTTGATTCGATACGCAAGAGCATGCTCTACGTATGTACAATTTCTAAAACGAGGTAAATTGTTGACAAACAAGTTGATGAAACAAGAATATCTGCAGTCTCGTTTAAAGTCATCATTTCGTAAGTTCTATGGTCGATACAATGACCTTGTCAGCAAATACAATTTATCATTGAGTCAAATGCTGACTGACGTTTTTCATACCAATTGTTGGGCCATTATTTACACACTGATTTGTCGACGGATTTTTCCGTTATTTCCCGATCATGACAAGGAGCACACGGCGGGTGTGACCGGTCGGCAGGGGATGCTCACTCTTCCATGGCATCTGATCCCACCTCTGATGTTTTGGAGGTCCGTGATTGCTCTGCTCCTATTTTGTATTGTTTAATGGACTTTTGAGCTTGAATACTGTTCGTTATCTCCATATATTTCATTCCACTAATCATGGATTTTCTGTTCTTGAGATGAATATTTTTAAAGATTTTTTCCTATATATTCCTATGTAAAATTTTGATCCCCCATCGTTGCCCAACCTTACCCTAGATATCATGAAACTTGAATCTACACTAACTGAGGATGCTTCCATATCAGTATGACTAGCCATGGCTTTGCTGTTCTTGAGAAGATATTTTTCCTATATATTCCTATGTAAAACATTGATCGCCCATTGTGGCCCAACCTACCCGGGGGTCCTGATTTGAAATAAGTTGAATCTGCGCTAAAAGAAGGTTTCACTTAAGTTTCAACTTTTTTGGCCCAGTGGTTCTTGAGAAAAAGACTTTTGAAAGATACCACCAAATCTTTACTTATTCTTATCCCCCCTTGAAAGAGGACATGGCTCTTCATTTGAACAAACTTAAACCCCCTTCACCACTTAAGAATGCTTTTTGGCAAGTTTGGTTAAAATTGGCCCATTGGTTCTGAAGAAGAAGTCGACAATGTGAAAAGTTGACAGAGGGACGACGGATAAAATGTGATCCGAAAACCTCACTTGAGCTTTTATTTCAGGTGAGCTAAAAATGTTAACATTTCATCTATTAAGAATGCATGATAGCAATTGATAGGGTATAACCTATCTAGCACAAAAAATGCCTGTGGTGGGGACTGGACCTTTGGAGTTGTAATATTTATATAAACAGTCATAACGACTGCAACAAAAAAAGTCCATTTCTGAAGCGGTCTTCGACAGAGATACCAACTGAATTCAAATTATAGCAAAATGTGAAGAAAACAAGGTGACTTTCGAGGCTTCCTTTAGAAATCTGGGGTGAGAACAGACTTATTTCAGTAGTTCACTATAAAGAGAAGGGAAATTTGAGTCCTCTTTATTAGTTCGCCCACGTATTTCAAAGCAAATTTAATACATATACCTAGGTCTAAAGTTAGGTCGTTGACAGACAAACTTATGAATTTCTGCATATTTACGCGGCTTAATTTATTTTCACTACACGAAATCAACTATCCTAAAGTGTTTTGAATCCACATAAAAAAATTCTTCCATTTCATTGGAAGGGTTGCTAACCTCTCATGAAATTATTTATACCCTTTAAAAGCTACTGCTCCAATGCAAATAATGTGAAGAATTGTAATTAAAACCAAGAAATTATGCAACCAATCTACCGACCCTTTATTTGAAAGTTTTACGCATAGAATTTTACTTCAAATAGATAAATGTTGCTTGCTCACTCATCAATCGTAGTTAGGGATTTCTCGTGTTTCCCGTCTACGAGAAAGTATTTATATATTGTAACGAATCTGTTATCACATCTATTGCTAACCATAAAGAACGATATCAACATCCACGCACTGTCCTCAAAGCGCTGGCCAGTAACAAGGGGGGGGGGGGGGGGGCAACCTTCACAAAATAAAAAAAAAAAAATAGTAAACCATACACTCCAAAATCCTATTTGGTGGTGTATTGGGGGGTGGGGGGAGGGGTGTACCTTTCTCTAACTTTTCGATCTTTTTTTATCAACTTTTCAGTCATATTTTTTTAAATGCTGGAATTTGCCGGCGCTTGACCTTTTCAGCAACAAAAAGATGGGCTGGGGACAATTAAGCAGCATCTAACTGAAAAGTTTGAATGTTTTAAAACACAACGTACATGTACAAAAATCTGATCCATACAGCCACATTGATCTGTAACTTAGAAGAAAAAACAGGTAATCCGAGATTACAGAGCTCACCTCAACGAAAGTTGTCTTTAAGTAAGGCAAAGTCCCACACTTAACAAATAATCTAGTAATGTGCATCCCTAGATGCAACATTTATGCAATTTTGGTCTGATAGGGCTTGCAGTTACTTGGGAATGGACATATCTAAAAACTTTAAACTAGTCACTCATCCAGAAAATGAAAGTCAAATCCAGTATCTGAAGCAACTTTGAGAGTGTTCGTCCCATGATGCATCATCCATGCAAGTTTGGTTCAGATAGACCTTATAGTTACTTGAAAATGAGATCTGTTCCAAAAACTTTAACCTGGTCACTCATTTGGAAAATGTAGGTCAGATCCAGCATCCGAAGCAAGTCCAGTAGTGTGCATCCTTAGATGCATCATCCATGCAAGTTTGGTCAATATAGGGCTTATAGTTACCTGGAAATGAGATCTGCTCCAAAAACTTTAACCTGGTCACTCATCTGGAAAATATAGGTCAGATCCAGCATCTGAAGCAAGTCCAGTAGTGTGCATCCTTAGGTGTGTCATCCATGCAAGTTTGGTCAATATAGGGCTTATAGTTACTTGGAAATGAGACCTGCTCCAAAAACTTTAACCTGCTTCAAAAACATTAACCTGGTCATTCTTTAGCTGAAATTGCAGCATCTGAAACCTTGCCAGGTACAATGAAACACACTAGAAGCATCCTTCATGCATCTCTGATTGGTCATAGAAGTACTTGAAAAGAAAACTGCTCCAAAAACTTTAACCTGGGACACCGACGCCCAGGGTATTACATAAGCTCCCCCAACTCTGTTAAGGTGAGCTAAGAATGCAATTCAAAGCTATTAATCCATTTCTATTCCTGTTCCTTCAGATAAAACACAAACAACAGAAGCTTTGTAAATATATATAATTTGATGTTTGTGGTTATGTACAACATTTGTATACAATATGTAGAAGTACATGTACAAAACACACTATTCTTTTCAAAATCATGTATATGAATAAACATATTAACGTGGAATACAATCTAAATATCCTCCAAGTGTCTTATAAATTCCTTGGTAACCAGCTTCTGGATTAACTGCATTCTAACATACACCCTCCAGACATTTTCATAGTATAATAAATTGCATATTGAAATAGCCACATGTCAGAAAAAAAGATATAACATATATGTACTGGTAACCTTAAAATTATCCTTACAGGCAAATGATTCTATACTACCTCACAAAAAGTTGCCAAAACATTGAATTATAATGAAAAGCCCTAAAACACTTAATTTTGTTCATAATAAATATTGCACTGTAATAACAAAGCACTGCCTATTCTGATTTTTGGGAAGTTTTGTTTTTGATCATAAGAAAAATAAAAATACTTCAGAATGGTGTTCATCAAACTTAACAAATATTTGTAAACATGAAGCAAAAGTAACACATTATAAATTCAACATCTAACTGAAATTGTGATAAGACAAACTAATTTCTATGTCTGATTTCTAAATGTAACTGGACTGTAATTTAAGCAAATCCAACTAATTTCCCACTGTAATCTGCATTTTACATGAAAAAAAAAAAGAGATTGCACTACACCCACCAAAGCCTGAAAGTTTGACCATAAAGTACTAAGTAATTGAAAAAAAATTACTTTCTAATTTCATTTTTGCATACAAAAATCTAAAAAATTACACTTTAAATACCCACCCCCCCCCCCCCCCCCCCCCCCCAATCTCTGAGCTGTCACCAGATTCAAATTATCTATCACTGTAACCTAAGTAAGGTTTCCGATTTCACCTAATACCAAGACAACTGTAGATTTCTGATATGGAAAGTAAAGCATCCAGGAACACGACAAACAATTCTCAGCCATCAACACATAAGGGCAGTATGTCTTATTCCATGATTAGAAGGCAATTAAAAAAGTCATTTCCAATGGCGAAATCAAATACCTGTGGCACAAAAAATTGGAAATGACAGTTCCACTGAAATATATTTGCCTTTTTACTATACCATAAAGACCTGGTTTCTTGGAATTATTAAGGTGAACAAAACTCAGTGATTCAAATAACAAATAAACTGTACTGCAAGTTGCTAATTAAAGACAGCATTTGGGTCATGGGAAGGAAAAAAAAAGCAAATTGTTACATAGTTCCAAGGAACTTTACTGCATACATCAGATCTATATTGGAGATTCTTCTTTCTCTCACTCCATCTTTCTCTCATAGACATTTGGAGGACATGCACATGGATTACTGGCATTGCTGTTACTATATCTACCCCACCCATCCAACCAAATCCAAAAATATAGATGGGGCAAGGGGGTACTTATTACATATGCCATTTACATTCCTAAATGGATCAGTTTACTTGATAAATCAAAGAATACATTTTAATAGTACTAACAATACCAGAAAAAAAACTTCCCTGCATCTTCATGTACATTTTGTTTATTCTTAAAGTGGTTTTAAAGTCATAAAAGCAGAACTTTTTTTGTTCAGATTGAATATGACAAGAATGCAAGAATATCTGGGTAACTGTGGCATATACTTTTTTCTTTGTACATGCAACATAATTATACACCATACAAGCCACAAAGAACTTATATAATTAATCATGGCATTCCAAAAAAATTATTTATCCAAAGAGGAGAGTCATGTGATCACAATAGAACAATACAGAGTTTCATTATCAATTAGCATACAATTAGAATACAGTTTGTTCAAGTGAAACACCACTGATAAATTTCATATCCTGATACACAAATAAGCAAAACAATACAGTGAGGGTCTCAGTATGGTTTGTTTTGTGTTTGCATGCATTTCGTCCCTACAGCATGTTTTTACATATCACCAACATTTAAGGCAAGGTGTGTACATATATAATATACATCAAATATATATACAATGGAAAAAAAATATCACAGAAAAAATGCCGGCTTAACAACAGGCAAAACAACAAATTAACAAGATCAATTTGACAATCTGATTGGTATACTCCTAGACCAAAGAGTGCCCTTGATGCATGACCTTTTTCAGCACACTCACAAACAGATTTTCAATAAATCACGATAAATTTGAAAATATTATGATAATGAAAACATGTTTTAATGCAAGAATAAACAAATATAAAAAGAATTTTAGAAGCATTCAAGCAGAATTCACATAAAATTTCAAAATCGGAGAAATGATCAGCATATATGAACTAGGAACACACACAAACACAAAATAGTAGACTAGGTCTAAAACCTCAGTGAGACTTCATTTAGTGAAAAAAAAAATGATTTCATATATATTAGTAAAAATCTTTTTACCCCAGTCATATTAACACAGAAAAGCAATTGATATAACTATATTATATGAAAACCTAATAAATATGATTACCTTAATAAAAAAACATATGAAGGTAAATAAGAATACTTTTATAATAAAACTATATAGTGCTTAAATGAACAGTATGATTTCGTGCATTTCCCTATTCCTTTTGCTACAAAAACCACTACCCATGGTGAAACCCATCTAAAGTGTTCCACAGCAAATGAAACAACTTACTGACCTTTCGAGAAAAGAAAACTAAATGAAAATGGAGAATGACAAGAGGTCATGACATGATCGAACTGCGTAGTCATGGTCATGACCAGGGACTTAGATTGGGACTTTCATGAGAGAAGACACAGAATAACCAAGCAAACGAACAGTATTTCATTTGAAATTATTCTAAACTTAGGAGGTTAAGGGTTAAAGATGGGGTGAAGAGAGGTTTTAAAAACTGGAAGAATACAAAATACTTGTATTGGCAATACAAGGGGCTTGATAGACACAATCCTTATAGTTTTGAACACATATAATCTTGTACGAGGGAGTGAAAAACATTTGCCTGGCCTTATCATTATTAATGCACAATAATTTCAAAAATGTTCACAAAATGCACACTGTTTGTATGTATTATGTAAGACAATTCATTGTGTTATGCATAGTAATTCATCAAGAACACCTGTTTCATATGTGACAAGATTACAGACAAGCAATGCCATGCCACTGATGAACTCTAATACAGCTGAATATTTAAGTACTATTTTGTTTCAATGAGTAAAATCAGAAAACGAAAAACAAGAAGAAAAAAAAATGAAAGAAGTTTATAATCTTTCTTTCAAACCACGTTTTTCAAAACTGCAAGTTCAGAACTAAGAATTTTCAAAATAAAAATAAATATTTTCACAAGCTTGCAGACTTTCAAAACATAAAGCACTTTGGGGCCATAAAAATTATGTTTTGGACAAAAAAAAAATATATTAAAAAAATCAAATGTCAAATTGTATTCAATAATTTAGCACTTGTGCATTAAGCAATACCCTGAAAATAATTTGAAACAAACATTGGACACACATATACTTGAAAAGGGATAGGGTTTTCAAACATATGAATGATAACTTTACACAAGACATCACAATATATAAATTGGAATCATGTTTTTTTTTTTTGGTGTAAATTAATTTGTTAACGGCTAAGACCACTGTTGCTATAAGTCAGCTGTCTGATGTCTTTTCATGTGAAGAGCAAGATGATCAGATCTCGAAAAACATCGTTCGCACACTTTGCATCGGAACGGTTTTGCTCCCGTGTGTTTGCGATAGTGTCTAGTAAGTTCATCAGATCTAGCAAAGCGCCATTCACACCCTTCCCATGAGCACTTGTACGGCTTCTCTCCTAGACAACAGACAAAACAAAACATCAATATACATGTACAAGCCAGATTAATGTAGATCAGATAAATTCCAGTCTGAAAAGATGACTCGCTACAGCTCCTGTAAAAGCAACTTTCATTTGCAGGAGATGTCTCATTAATCACAACTTTTCATTCATCTTAAGGATAATAGCTCTGAATAAGGAACTGATTATTACTCAATTGCTTTTGGCTTTCCTAAATCATTGAAAGACAAAGAAAATAAGTTTTAATTGGTTTGTTATTTTTCATTTCACAATATTGAGGTCAGTTTCCAAGTGAAGTCAATTTCCTTCCCTAAAAATGCATATTCTCTGGAAATGTCACTTAATAATTTTTTTTCTAAAAGAACATGGAGTTCTGAAAAAGTCCTAAATACCGTAAACGTACATATTAAATCTGTGCACTCAAAATTTAGCACAATCTTCCCCATCAACTAATATATGAATTAGCTCATTTGGAGCAAAGCTTGTACAAGTATATATTTAAATCATACATCAGCGATTACTTGAATTAGTGGACAAGAAGCAGTGCCAAAGGAGCTAAAATACGATTATTGCTAAATTAAGTACGTTTACAGTACTTTTAAATAATACATTTTTCTTGAATAAAAAAAAGGATTTCTCAACCTCTGACAGAAAAAAAGTTGCTTATCCATTGAAGTCATATATTAAGTTAGCATGGTAAGTTTACAATAAAATAATAACTGAAATGAGGATCAAATTTTAGGCAATGACAGATATAATTTTTACCTGTGTGTGTCCTTAGATGAGCTTTGAGATGAGAACTCTTTGTGTATACTTTTTTACAACCATTGTATGGGCACTTGTGATTTCTACGTCTCATGTCTGGACTGACATCCGTTCGGATTTTCTGTCCATTCAGAGGCACTGGGGGTCGCTGTTGGATGGGCTGGGCGGTGTAAGGACGCATGCGACCATTCTGTGAAGTGGACACATAAGAGTACGACTGCCTTTGCATGAGATCAGCAGAAGGCACACGGACTGCCACTGTTGTGGTACGCCCTGGCTGTGCTACAAGTCTTAATGCAAATGGGTCATTTGATTTGGGCATGATGGGTGATAATGGGGGATCGCTGTTGTTGCTATCCCATGAGACACCTGAGGACTGTGAATTAAAACTACTCAAACTAAGTGTATCACATGATGTCCTATCATTGAGGTCTAAGTACGCTAGCTGTTCTAGTCTATCATCTGCTTCAGTTTCAGTCTCATTTCCATCTTCCTCATCATCATCTTCATCATCCTCGTAAAACTCATCACAAGGTTCAGGAATGATGTCATCAGACTCCTCCTTGATATCTAGTTTGGCCTCTGGAGTCAATCTTCCGAAAGACTGTTGTCCATTTTCCCAACATCTGTCCATCTCGGCTGTCTCTGGGTTCAGCTTCTTGAATGATGTCAGTTTGGGTTCACTTTTCAGGTACCTTTCCATCTCCAGGCAGTTCTGCAAAGACAACATTACAAAATATGATTATTATTTTGTAAGCATCAAACACTGTCAGTTACTGTCATTAAAAATACCTTTTATTCATAAATTACTGTGTAAATGTTGTATATGAAATTAGGATACTTTTGTTACTTAAGAGACTGATTCCTGCAATCTGTATTAAATCATTATTAAACACACCATTCTCCTGCATCCCTTTATTGTAAAATATCTTTTTAACTTTAAAATTTTGTCATTATCTGATATCTTTACAGTAAGACATTGTATTGCCTCTGTTTAAAAGTTTGTCTGCTTAGGGAAGCCCACTGTATCAAGAATGCACTCTGTTGAGCCTTTATCTCAATATTTTGTCTATGAAAATCCATACATCAAACAGACATAAATCAAGTATTGGCATGTAAATGGAGAAAACAGGGCACTATGGTGGCCAGACCCACACTGTGACAACTGGAATGTTGTTCCTGTCCTTGAGGCACAGTTGAGCAATAGAATAATATTGGACAGCTAATCCTAGGTCATAATTAATTTACTCTGTCAGTGCAAATCCACAGAAATGTTCAGACCAAAGAAACTGAACAAACAATCAAATGATGGTGATTATAATGCATATCCCTTCTCTCTCTTCTTTTTAAAGTGACAATGAATGGTTAGAATGCTTAAAAAATAATAAAAAGGAACTAGTGCAGAATAAATACCAGTAAGGTATTTCTTTAATTATCTTCAAAACAATAACAAAACCAATCCTACCACACACTGTGTAATCTTTTAACACTTAAACTGGGCTAAGCACATTCCAGTAACTTGTTCAAGAAGGCATATAAGATCTTGTAGCAAGCTGCCAGCTGGCACTAGATGTACATATACCTTCAGCTTTGCTCGAGTAGACATTAGATATTTATAGTAAAACAGTTCATGGATGGAATTTGCTTTCTAGGGCAGAAAATTTATCATATGTATGACAGAGTGAAACTTTATTGTGTATGACAGTGAATTATACCTACCCCTGTTTTCAAAACATGTCTCCGAGCGTGTCATCCTAAACTAACAACCTACTTTTTGTCTTACTTCTATGTAAGGAATGTCATAAAAAATGGCAACATCAAATCAAGGCCTTTGATTGTGTTGTCAAATTACACGATTTCTGCCAGTTGCAAATGCAATGTGCAATAATGAGCAAGTCATTTCAGTTCAAAAGGCATTGTGACTCCATTATCAATGACAACATGAAAGAATTCTACCAGTTCTAAGGGACTTGTTTTCCTAATTATTAGTGTAGCTTGCAGAAAGATTAATCTTGAGTGCAAGACAAAGAGCTGCAGCAGCTGCGTACCTAATTATAATTAAAGGAAACATATTAGAAACTCCTAAAAAAAAAAACACTGCAGTTGTGCTGGAATGAATCTAGAATTCAAGTGGATTTGAATAAAAATGTATATAGATATATTTACAAAGCTACCTGTTTTCAAAACATATCTTAAAGTTAGCTGACAAAATTTCAGTTGTCTTACAGACCTTACCAATTTCCACATTACAAACTACCTTCCGCAGCACTAACTTTTCCCCATCTATCATCATAAAGATAATAAAAGAAAGGATTTATTATTGTTTGGTAATAAAGCTTAATACTTTTTAATTTCCTGTGGAAAGAGATAATTTAGCCCTGACATTTATCGAGAAATCAAACACTTTATATGCCTTGGCACTAATTGCTACTCAAAATAAAGTAAAAATGCTGTACAATGAAGCTGCCTTGAAAGAGATAAGAGATCAATATAGATTTGAATGTTTCGCCAGGTATTCCAGTAACTTAGGTAAGTTTCTCATAAACAAAATATCTCAAATTTTTTGCTCAGGTGAGTCAGGAATTCATGATGGAAGTTTCACACCAAATTGTTATGATTTACATTTTTTTAATTTGCAAAACCCATGTTTACAAAATCAGCCAAGCACTGCATTAGCAACATGAAAAGGTTTATTACAATACGGATACCAATCCCTCAATTCATAGTTGTAATGGATGTGTATTCATTAGATCTGTTATAGACATTAAACTTGTTGAATCTTCCATAGTCCATACCCAAAATGTATTATCACCTACAAAACACTATGCCCATTACCCTAGTCATCTCAGTGTCTATAAAGTCTTTCAAATGTTCGGTCAATGTTTATCTTATTTCTTGGAGACTATTTTATGACTATATGAACATGCTCTCTGAGCATGATTCGTCCCTTCTTCCCTGCGATACAACTTTGCTACAATAACTGTTGATCGCCTTTTCTGCTGATATTAACCAATTTATTGTTACTCTTTCAAAACATTTTGGATCAGCTCCGCTGGATCTGAAATAATCCTCATTATGCCATTTCTTACTTTCAAAGAATGGTGACATTTTTAATCAACAATGTAACAACACAGTTGATCATTCAGTATCATCTTTTCATTCCATTAGATTATTAAAACATACATAACAATTGTCTTTGGCCTCTAGCGTATGTCAAACGACAAAAGAGCAGCCTCATCATAAGTCCTTGTTGATCTATATCTTGTACTGTAATGAGCTGGTCACCGAAGATTGTGAACTTGACCTAGATTCACCTGTGAAAGCCACCCATACAGATGTTTGAAAATAACTTCTCTTTACCTTATCCAGAAAGAATAAAAGTGATAAAATTGTGGCAGGTGATTCCTTGCGGTGATAAACATGCAACTTTGTCAAAATATTTTTGATAATTATTAAATTTAACAAAGAAAACATTGTTTAAATTGACATATGTACTGATTCCAAATTCTGATTCCCAATATAAAAGGCCCTTTCGCCTCGTCAATCACGGTGTGAGAAATTTAAAGCTCTTATGAATGAAAGAATTTTCATATTAAATACCTTTTGATAATCTTATGTGAAGTAAGCCGTGCTACAAGTTGATTTGAAAAATATGCGATAAAAAGCAATTTACCTATTCATGTATATCTCTGTAAATACATTTGACACTGCTCAGGTAGAACGTTTATGCATACCTGCTTATCTGCATTTCTTCATGGGCAAATAAATAAAAAAAAATTTCCTTCTTTTTTTTTTTAAATTGCTAAACTTATAAATGTATGAATTTTAAAGTAATTCATAGAAAAAATATACTCAAAACAATTTTTTTTTTACTTTAATTGTAATAAAAATGCAATATACAAGACAACAATCTGTTAAACTGCTGTGTTTATCAATAACAATTTGATAAACTTATCTCAGAATCTAGCAGTTGCTGTGAATTACCAGTGAAAATATTTCAAAATTAAGCTTTATCACCATTATGTAAATATAAATTTTCATCTTTTAATCATACATTTTCAATCTGCCTCCTGCACAGTGCCCCTCACCCACACAGTTTTGTTACGCAATGTTCAAAACTTAGTCATTATGACACATCTACTCACTTTTTTAACTACTGTGTAATACTTTAATGAAATTAAGTTCTTAGTAAGTGCATAGTGCACATTCAAAACAAAATCCCCCCAATGCTCTCTCTTTCATATATTGCATACACCAATCATATTAATTTGACCCTACTGTTTTATTTCTATAAATATAACCATAAAATTGACCTGATCACAAATTTTGACCCATTAACTTAAAATACTTTTCTTATGCAATATGTTTGTGTAAGTGAACATATAAATTCTGCAGTCAGGAGGTAGGCTCCAAAATCTCAACACACATCAAATTTCTTGCAAATTGGCCAGTTCTCTCTTTTTTATCTCAAGGTCAGCCCTCTTCCATCACATTCCTAGATGCTATGATCATGCAGGCGGGAAATAACATTCTGACCTGAAGTTACTGTTGGATATTTTAAGATTGGTATCAGTAAAAGCCAGGGCAGAAGAAGAAAAATACCATTGTGTTTCACATTATTTGAAATATAAACAGCTATCCCTAGATGATTAAATCCCTTTTATTTTCACTATTTCCATTACTTTATCTACTTTAAGGTCTTTGGGCTATCTAAAGGAATGTGTCCCATTGTTCGGCCTTTCATTGATAGTTTGATACCTTTTACAGTCCACAAATGAATGGGTCAGAATGCTCTATTAGCCATTTCATCTTTAATGGATTCCCTGCCCAATTTCAACAGCTTGGACTACTTACCCAGCTGTGATTGGTGGAAGATAGGATTGATTAGAAATCTGTCAGGTGAAATTTCCTGCTCATGTCAAATCATTTGGCCAGTTAACTCAATTTTTAAAAATTAAGTACATGGTATATTCAGTTTTATTCCCTAGTATTCCTTCACATAAAATTCAATCTACAGGATTTAAGATGAATTTTTTTAGTACCCTTGATCATCAAATATTTCAACATATTCAATGACTTATAACAATTTTTAACCCAACAAGTGAAAGTGAAACTTGGTCCTTGTTCCCTGAATGCATTTGAGAACAAGTAAAATTTAATGCAAGTATTGCATGGCATATATACATGTACATGCATCTCCTCAGAACAGGTGGTCTCCCATTTTGAGGATTCATCTCATTTGACCCCTATTTGGTATTCTGCACCTTTCTTGGATACAAGGTGTGAACAAACACAGAGACATAAATCATGTCCAAGTGAACCACTCCGATAGCTGACTGACATTGGCATGTGCATTCAATTCCTTTATGCATAAACTATTTACCAACCAGAATTAAACCTACTGTCTGCGTAAAATCCATCCAAAAAAAAAAAAAACCTCAATTGAAAGGATCTTTTGTATTCACCTTCTCTCTGGTCATAACTTAATAAATTGTACCCCCAGAGCTCTCTAAACTTTAAAGAGATTGCAAACTGAAGCAGAGGAATTCAAAACATGATAATACTAGAGAATTTTTCCATAAAAGCAGTACCTCTTCTCCTTTTTAATTCATGATCAGAAAAGGTAATTCTCTGTCTAGAAATAGAAAGTGTTACAAAATTACTTTCCTGTGTACTTTAAATTAAATTGTTAATGTTATGAGTACAGTAAACTAT